GTTATGCGTCCCAGAGGAAGCTGGGGTGCTGGGAGACCCGGCTTTTGGAGTCATGGGGTCTCCAGCTGGGAGCACATCTGGTGTTAAACATCTGGCATTTCAGCCCTGCCAGATGAGCTCATCTTGGTCACTGCTGAACACTGGAGATCTCCAGCTCCCCTAACTGAAATCCTGACTCTTCAAGCAAAATCCCTCGCTGAAGGTGGTGCTGTTTCGAAAGGGCCGTAAGGAAGGCGGGACACATGTGGGGGGAACTCACTGAACTTTAATACTTGGTCCCTGCCTCCTGATGGGTATCAGGCTTACAAACGATTGTACATCCCGGGCCTGTGACAGGCTTTGGCAGGCGCCGACTCCAGCAGCTACTACAGCTGAACCCGGATTCTTCCCAGCACGAGGTTCCTCACTCCCCTGCAAAGATGAGTGGTTGGGAAGTCTCCGGAGGATTTTATTGGCAGCAAAAAGCTGCACAGAGTCACTGAGATGCTCCAGCTGTTTACCATAGCTTTTATTTGAAAGGTTGTCACTTTTCCAATCAGCGGCCTGGGATCACTGCTCAGCTCCAGCTGGTCGGAGGAGCGGCACCTTTTGAACGCACAGCCGCGGCAAGCAATTCAGCACCGTGTCCCTTGGGCCACAACCTGCTGTGACTTATGCGGGTCCCAAACCTCCTGGGTATGGACAACCCGGGTTCTCCTGCATTACATTTAACAGGAGGTATTGCAAGAGCGATGTGTTTGCATCACATCTGAACACACGTGACATTTTACATACATCCTCTGGTTTAGCACATGGATCAGGAAGGGAAGAGCCTGCTTCACTGACATCAGTTGCCATTTGGAGATCTTAGGTGAATTAAACCCCCTTCCCCCTAGCAAACTCAAGCGGTGTGAAGCCCCAGGCTCCAGTGAAATGTGTGGCCATGTTACAAAGGTCTTTCTCTTATGCAGCTCATCACTTGTAGGGAATCCCTTCCTCTTTATGTTATAGGCTTGGTGACGGTAGCAAGATGCTGAAGTTACAAATGATTATTTTAGCTTTTGGGCTCAGGCCCAGATCCTCAGCATTATTCAAGTGCCTTGTTTCCACTGAAACCATGCCAGAGATTAGTGCCACCATCCCCACCGGTGCCTGTGGAGAAGACTGAGAGAGGCGTCTCGCCATGAAAGCTGCCCTTAGGGGCCTAAGTCAAGCTAGGGGAGCCCAGGCTGTGAATCTCAGTGTCACGCAGGCACCTGGCTCAGGGCTGCAGCTGCGGCACAACACAACTGCAGACACGCAGCCCTCTTCCACACATCCCGCTGGCTGGATGAGGTGTCTCCCGCTCCCCGTTTAGCAGGCAGACTGCTGAGCGTCCTGACCGTGGGTGCCTCAAGTCTGCCCACTCATAGCTAAGGGACTGTGGACACTTCACTCGGGTTTGTGGATCCCTTGACTGGAGCCGGGAGCCAGAAAACTCAGCCCCACCGCACCCAAGCCCCTTCTGGGATCAGGGCCCAAGATACTTGGAGGATCTCGGTGGGAAAGCCTGGCCCCATGTATATGGCTCCTATTGTCTTTAGTGGAAGAATCGCCTACTGGAGGCTTAAAGGAGCACGGGGGTGGGACATGCTAATGCATGCAATTGTCCCCTTCCCATGTGCAAGCTTTTCCTGGCACGTCTGGTTTGCTCAGGAACAGCTGCATGGACAGATGTCAGGCTCCTCTGACCTGCTGCCCCTCCAGCTTTGTGCAGCCAGCTCAGCTCCCAGCGGTGAGGTGCAGGTCCTCTTCGCAGGTACTGGGGTTGCTCTGGTGGGGGGCTCTTGCAGGCGGATGGTATCTCTGCTCCCCCGGCTGGAGGCAGCGGCAGCTTCGGCCGTTAGGGAGGAGGTGGTGCTGGCAGCTGGGAGGGAAATGGTGGGAGGGAAACACGTGGTAAGGGGCGGGGGCACACAGGGGGAAGCTAATGGCTCAGCTTTGTATCAAAGAAAGCTAATGGCTAACAGCTTTCTCTGCAGGCTTCCCCAGCGACAAGTACCCCAGGCCCCAGGCTGCTGCAAGGCTCTCCCTCTCCCTTAGCGTGGGCTCCCTCCTAGCACCCCTCTCCCCTCTGCCTTCGGCAAATGAATCTCAGGCTTCGTTCCCCCAACGTCCCCAGGAGCCCCAACCCACATCACCCTCTGCCATCCTTTCCTCCCCAGTCACCTCTCTAGGCTCGTTGCCCGTTGTCACCATTCCCCATGCAGAGCGGCTAATTCAGACCCTTGCCCCTTCCCAAGACCTCACAGCCCCTCATTGTGCCCCAAAACTTGGCCATCACTGATGGATTCAATAATAGGGTTGAACCTACACTGCTGGGTTCAATAACAGGCCCTAACTTTCCGCCTGGACTATTCCTACTTTCCCAGGAACCCCAGGAGGGGAGCCCCCATCATATCCACTGTGAAGAAACGATGCTTTGTGGATCTAGGTAGGTCTGTGCATTGATCCCCTGGTTCACTCCACCCTCAGGGTCCCTGCAGCTGGAGCAGGACGTTGCAAATATTGACTCACATCTCCCCCTGGGTCTCGAGGTCGGTGCTCCCCATGGGGAACTGCACCTTTGAGAGACGGAGCTACACAGAAGCTTGTGTTATATGAGCCCGATTGCTTAGAAGCCGAATGAGGCAAGCCTTGGGCAACGTCTGCAGCTCAGCGCGAAGACCGCGTGGTAGCAGGAGTAAACCAAATGAAGGTAATACCCTGAATGGAGGAAAGTAGCAGTTAAAAGGCCCCAGCAGAGAAGAAATGCTTGAGAAATATGGGGGACAATTGGGGAAGGTTTCGACCGTCCTTCGTGCTGGGTCTGCAAAGGTTTGGTAGCAGGCGGAAGGCAGCTTCACTTCTGACCATCAGCACGTGACATGTCACAATGTTTTTCAGGTAACGCAGGCAGAGGAGGGTTAGGGAAAATGTCCGACAAAGCTGAGGGTTGCTTGCACAGGAGTGAACTGTAAGCAGAGAGCGTGAAGAGGAGCAAAAAAAATCGATCAGTTCATCACCGATGTAAGGCTGATCACAATTTGCAGGGGCTGAGTCGCTGATAAGAGATCAGATTCTAACCAGAACCTGGGACAAAGCTGAGAGAGACCCCAAATTAACCCGTGACAACGAACGACTGAACAGAGGAAGCTTGCAGACAGTCAGGCAGCGGGTGCTGCGGACAAAATAGGGAGGAGGAGAGAGAGGTGGCTCACCTCTCTAGCCCTAGCAGAGTTTAAACGTGGAGCTGGCTAGGGCTGCAGTTCTGGGTGCACGGCGCTAGGAGAAGAACCACCTGGGTAGACGTAAAGACTGGTCAATGCAGGAGAAAAGGAAGGATCTGTTGTGTATTGATAGAGGCGAAATAATTAACTAGCTTCACCCAAGGGCAACATTTCCCACTACTTCCAAAAGGAGACATTTTTGAAGAGATGGCTGACACCAAGTGTTTTGATGCATCAGCAAAGCTTGCAGCAAAGGTTTACAAGGGGCCTTCTGGACACATACCCCTGCTGGGAGATACTGGTTTTTTTTTTTAATTGCCGTTATGGTTATGTCAAATGTGTTTCAGAGAAAAATACAAGAGATTTTGATAGGCTAGACGGCACTAAAGTCTGCATAGGGGAGGTCTGGATCTAGGGAAGAACAGCTGAAGAGCGTGATCAGAGGCTCTGAGCAGCTTTGGACAGAGCCTGGCTGGTGGGCGAGAGCTAAACACCCCAAAATGTAAATACTAGGAAAACAGACAATGCCTAAAAGTGTCTGGATAGATCACGGTCAGGCTGAGACCATCAGCAGGCTGTCTGCACCAGAGACTAGGAAGGATGGGCTGATAAAGTAGGTAGGGAAATTCATGTCTAATCGAGCTGCTCGAACCAGCAACCTGCAAATTTTCCTCTGCAAGTTGTGCAGTGGAAAGGGGACAATAAGGAGTTTGAGAAACTGAAGGATTTAATTAGAGGCCCCAGATAATAGGGTAAAAAAGCTTAAAATGATATTCTCCACCAGTAAGTCCAAGGGCACTACAGTCCTCTTAAAGAGTCCAGTGAAAACTGGATATTAGGGTCTCATGCATCAGAAGTGACAATAAATTGTGTGTGTCGGTCTGCAGATGTAGCGAAGGAGGCATTGGCTTCATTTGATGGTATAAAACATTTCTTGCCTTTATCTACTGAAGAGCTCTGATAGCTGAAGCTGACAATAAACCACTTGCTGACATAGTCAAGAGATGCCTGGCATCCCCTTTGCCTTCTCCAAAGAATGCAGAGATGATTTTTTTTCAGCTACAAAAATATATTGTACAAATCTGGGAGAGATTTGGTAGTTTCAGATACTCTCATGAGAGCAGCGGAGAAAAAAAATTGCAGTGGAATCAGAGCTAGACTTAAATGATGTATATGTCCAGTCTCAGATGAAATGTGGACTGTGATAGTTGGAGTTACTGCAACCGAGGAGACCTTGCAGAAAACAAGCACACAGGGTGGCCAGGACACCTCGCCCTTATTATTAATTTAAGTGGTAGCTCTAGGTAGCAGATGGGGTTTTTAAAGCAGCAGGATGACACTTATGGAAAATATGTAAAAAGATATGGGAAGGTCCTTTCATTATTAAAAAAATCCAAGAAAAAATTTATACTGGCCACAAATGCACAGTGGTATTAAAGAGACTGCTAAGGATTATCACATGTGACAAAAACAGAGCCAAGTTAAAGAAATATTAGCTTCTTGAACCAAAATAGGCCTTATTTGTTTATGCTGGATAGAAGAAGTGATGTACTTGTCCAAGACTATTACTTTAGCTTCCCTGAGATCGTCTCATTAGAAGATATTTTAGCTAAATGTGTGATTCATTCCCTATCGATGCATACTGTGAAGAAATAGGTGACATCTCAGAGTTTCAGGAAAGGGAGAGATGAGGGACACACAATTGGCCAACTTGCCTCAGGAGGTCTTAGGCCGGTAAGAGTCTTAAGAGGGTGAGGAGGCTGAGCCCCAGGGTATGACCGAGCTATGAACTAATACATTTATAGCTGCCAGAAAAGACCTGCCGGTCTATGCAACACTGCAGGGCTTCGCAAAGATCTTTGAACATTGGGAGTTAGTAGATCATTTAAGTGTAATGGGATATTATGTCAATAATGTTAATGCTTGGTTATTATCATTATGCTTGGATGGGGCATTGTACCTTTATGAAGCTCATGGAAGAGCTGACGGGAACAGATCCTTATGCTATGCAGAGAGTCACGTTATCCACAGCTGATTATTTTCAAACTCAGGTCCTGAATGAAGCACTGTCCTGCAGAACAGTATACTGTCTAATGGAAATCCCAGTAAACTCCATTCAGATTCTTAAAATACTCTTCATTGGTTTCCGTCGGTCACCTTCAGCTTGAAGGACATTAGACCAGGAACTGGTGGAGCAGTATAGATCCACTGATCTGTTTGAAAAACATTTGTAGCCAGCTGGAATCAACAGAATATTTTTCCAGCTGCAACTTCCACCATCATCATCATCGGGATGGCATTTTTCATTCAGACTCTTGTCTCTTGCTGTTTCTTTGAGATGCTAGTTCATGCTTACCTTATTTTAATGGTGTGATACAGGGGAGAAATAATATAGCATTCAGCCAGCATTGTAGGGAAGGTCTGCAGAGAGACGAGAGCACTGTTTAAATCCCAAACATGGGGAATTAAATCATGTGAGTGGCTTTGCATGGAGGTGACTTTCAACCTACATATTTAAGGTGGATTTTCCTTTCCCTTTAACTTCCTTATTTGTATCAGCAGGACAGATGCTCAATTAGACAGAACCAGATGGGAGTTGGAATAGCAAATCCTAATATAATACAACTTAACATGTTGGTCCTGTTTGTCATCATTATCGCAGCAAGAGGAGTAAGTAGAGTTTTTAGGGAATCGCACTGGTTTGTACAGACTTTTTCTGTGCCCGTCTGAGATTTAGGGAAACCTGCGATTCCAGTGACTAATCTGAATACAGAACATACTAAACACCAACAAACAGAATAAAAAATCCTTGCACATATATATATTAGATATAAAAACCAAATGCTTCCTTTCCTTATAGTTGCATTGTCAGGGATTATTACTATTTTGCTTTACAGTATCTTCCATAAAGTCCAGGCACATTTCAGAGACATTTGAATTGCTGCTCATGGGCTTTCTTTGTCCCTCTCCATTTCCTTGCATGGCATCTAAAATCTTGGCAGTCACTCAACCAGTGGAGAGCTCAGCAACATCTCTGTTTCTCAAGAGCAACATTTCCAAGGTGGGAAGGCTTTCACAGGAAACATGGCCTTCTTCTGCGTCCGAGCACCACACATCACGGTGTGAAACAGTAAACAAAACCACCGGCAGAACTGGATTCGGCACGAGGAAGACGTTTGTGTTCAAATGCAAATAGAGCGTTCCTGCCCTGTGCAGTCAGTCGCAGACTATCTTTTGCATTGGCATGAACAGCACTGAGAGCTCCTCTTTCCAAACAGAGCAGCATGTTCTTGAGGAAGAAATTCCAACACAATTGGTTTAAACCTCCTGCTAGACAACACAAGGTCAAGGGCAATAGGACTGTCCAACCCAGTGGTATTCCAGTGACCGTGCGCCAGCCTGCTGCACTATGGCCCCTTGATTAGATCTGTGTATTGCTTGGGGAAGGCAAGCTCAGAGGGCTCCCGATCGTGTTGGAGAAGGCAATGATTGCATTTGTGCCCGAGCCCTTGGAATTCTTGTTCATACTGATGATGTCCATGCTGGTTTGCTCCAGCTCGGTCTTCCTGAAGATGCTTTTCATGGTTGCCTGGAAGTTGTTGGTGACAAAACAGTAGACGATGGGGTCCATGCAGCTGTTGAGGCTACTCAGTGTCACCGTCACGTGATAAACTACCAGGCTGATGCTCTTGGGCATGTCTGGGTTGATGGAAATAGCCACTTGGCGCACATGGAAAGGAGTGAAGCAGATCATGAAGATGATGAGGACGGTGATAAGGAGCTGTACAGCCCTCATGCGCCTCTCCCGGCTCTGGTGCATGAGGCTGGGTTTAGACAGCGCACACATGATCCTAGTGGTGAAGAAGGTGATGATGACAAGCGGGAAGAAGTACTCACAGACCATCAAGGCCAAGATTTTGGCAACGCAGCAGTGGGCGAACTTTATTGCCATGGTCAGGACAGAGAATGTCACCACCGTGGCAAAGATCCAGATGAAGACACAGATCCCCTTGGCACAGGTGGGATTTCTCCACTTCCGAGAGGCTTCCACCTGCACGATGGCCAGGTACCGGTCAACACAGATGCACGTCAGGAAGAGAATGCTGCAGTACATGTTGACGAAGTAGCCGAATATGTGAACAAAAGAGCATTTCAAGCAGTCCCTTGCACTGTAGTGCATGATGATCCGGACGGGCAAGGAGAAGCCCACCAGTAGGTCAGTCACAATCAGGTTGATGGTGTAGATGACAGAGGTGGTTTTTGTCTTGGTGCGGAAGCAGA